ATCCATTCGATCATTGTCCAAAGCCCGTGGCTGAAGAAGTGTTTGGGGATCATCCTCGATGACTATCCAGGCATCACGACAAATCTGGACCGGCTTGTCTTTCGCGCGCCATTTCATCCGTTCGTGCATCGCTGGGACAGGCTCGTCTCGCTTCTTGAGAAAGATGACTTTGAGGAGGATACTGCCAGGGACCATCTTAAACTCTTTCGTGATGTCCTCTTTGAAGAGCTCAAGAACGCAATTGCTGCCAAAATCGACCTTGTTAAGAACGGTGTCATCACCTTTGAATACCTCTGGACAATCTTTGAGCCTCAAACTCTGGTATATAGCGTGTCCGACGGCAAGGAGTGTGTCTTCAAGCTTAACTCCTCGACCAGGGCAACCGATCAACGGCGCGGACTCGACTTCTTGCAATTGGACGTTTGGTCTGTCGATTGGGACGGGACCAAGTTCGGACAGCATCATACTTACCTCCAAAATTACGAGTTCGCCGGTACAACGCCGATCACCTCTCTTCAAGCGTACCCATTGGAGTTTCACTCCGAGAGGGAGCAACTGATGCATCGACTTGTGGTCCGCGGAAAGCTCTTTGAATGCCTTGCGGGATACCATTACAAAGCATATCGAGGTGTCGCTCTTGGATACGGTCGATGTGGGATGATCAGACACAATGTTGAATCACGGATTATCATTGACTGCGACGCGCACAATCGATTCTTGCCCAACAATGCGGTGTACTTCAACTCGCTTAACAAGCCACAAAAACAGACAAACGGACTTGAGCTCCCATCCGACGAGTCAGAAGAGCAGTTCGATTTCGACGGCTTCTTGGACAACGAGTCCGACTTCCTCGTCACTCCGGACTCCGACGACGACGCATGCAAACCCAAGCATCGTCCACTGACCACGGAAGAATTACTCCTTGCTGTGCCATACGTTCGAGGTTATGCCCTAAAAACCAAGAAATGGGTGAGTCAAATGTGTTTGAAGTTGCCTCCCTAGGCGGAGAGTCTTCAAAAGCCCTGTTTTCCGTTCCCGATCCCATCGATCCCATGTTTCGACGCTAATAGATGAGAAACCAGCTCTGGTTCTATGTCGATCAGGTCGAAGAGATCAAATTTGCCGAGAATGCCTTTGCGTCTCTGGTGCTACCCAAAGAACAAAAGTCGCTGATCCGCGCATTCGTCGAGTCGCAAGTCAAGTACAAGGACGACTTCGATGACGTTATTGCTGGCAAAGGTCGTGGGATGATCATGCTACTCGCGGGTCCTCCTGGAGTAGGCAAGACTTTGACGAGCGAGAGCGTCGCCGAAGACATGCGAGTGCCTCTGTAAGTTTCGCCCTGCCGTTACGACAGGATCGTCAACCAATCATGCGGAGCGAGTCCAGAGCTAACGCGCGATTCCTTGCCCCTCAGCTACATGATGTCCGCCGGAGATCTGGGCCTGGACCCTTCGGGGATTGAGGAGTCGCTCAATCTGGTGCTCGACATGGTCAGCAAGTGGAATGCAGTGTTGCTGCTGGACGAAGCCGACGTCTTTCTCGAGGCAAGAAGCTCCCATGACCTGGAGCGGAACAAGATGGTGTCGATCTTCCTTCGTGTGCTGGTAAGAGGAAACCCCGGCCCCAAACTATTCCGTCGTATCCAGCCACCCCCGGCCTGATCCTCGTGTTATGTGTCTCTAAGAAACCGGTGTGGACACATCTGGGAAACAAAAACTTGAAAGCACTCATTCTTTTTGTTGGAAGGTGCCCCATTCCAATGTGGCCGCCTTGGTTATTAGCCTCCTGCTGGATGGGCCAACAACTTGCTTGCACATGAACAACAGCCGATTTGGCGGTCTTTTTGCGTCCCCATGACACTTTTTGAGACATACTTGTCAGGCTGACAAGTAAATGACAGGAATACTACGAAGGGGTCTTGTTCTTGACCACCAATAGGATCAAGAACATCGACGAGGCATTCCACAGCCGCATCCATGTGACGGTCAACTACCCCAACCTGTCGGTCGAGTCTCGCCGTCACATTTGGCAGACCTTTTTGGGCCACGATCATCCGATGGATGGGAAAGAGCTCGATCATCTCGCGCGGGTGGACCTGAACGGGCGACAAATCAAGAATGTTCTGAAGACGGTGAGCTAAGCTCTTTCCTCGCTCTCTTCGCTAACACAATCCCTGTGTCGTTGGTTGGTGGGAGGAAGTTCCCGGTGTCATGTCATTCGCATTTCTGCATGGAATTGTCACTCCCCATTGCATGGCTTGGCCTTGCTAACTCAGACCCTGTGCAGGCCCAGATGTTGGCACGAAGCGAAGGAAGCAGCTGCCAGGAACAGGCCAAGAATGCGCAACGTGGTGCCAAGGTAGAGATGCGCCACATCGAGACGATCCTGGCCATTGAACAGCGAGGCACGTCATGGCAGCAGGCGTAATTGGGCTATTAGGTGCCAACACCAGGGTCGGGTACATACAAGGCTATGCGGCGCTAAGTTGGGGTGTAGGATACGGGTACTGAGGGGCCTCATAGTGGAAGATTTAAGCGAAAATGGGGGCAGTAGGACACAGCTGGGATAGTTAGAATATAGGCACCATAAGTACAAGTACCTGATAGGTACGAGGTATGTGACACAGCAGTAATAGGTTGGTTGACGGGGTACGAGCCCTGTCCCCTCCATTCCTGATCCTCAGTCCATCCGGTCCAACCGAACTGAGACACCGAGTGGCAAAAACGCATAACGCATGCATGTCCGCAAGCTGCATCCCTGTATGTATGCATGCTCAATGCATCAGGAACAAGAAAGCTCGCACCGCAAAAGACCAGACCTTGTCTCACACGCCTGATTTGCCTCCCTCGAAGATCTCTATACCTACGTGTGCCTTTTGGTGCGGGCTGTGGAATCGTCCAACCATGTGCCTTTGGAATATACTTATACTGGCTATTTGCAGAGTCATGTGGTGTGACTGAATGAATTCAAGTCCGTAAGGAAATTCCCCGGACCTGGAGAGCCGGACCTTGGGTGCCCAGCCCAAAAACCTTGGTTTGCGGGGGAGGACGAAGCTTGCCATGCAAATACATACCCTAGAGAGGCTAGAACAGGGCACGCTTTGCGCCCCGCTCTTTAATGCCCTTTTCCGCAGACCTTTGTCCCTCTCTCTGTTCTCTTGTTCATACATTCCGCTAAGCCCGTCGAGAGCTTGTTGGGGAGGACTGCACGCCTGAGGCTGGGGCGAGTTAGCTGCGTGGTTGTTGTTTGGTGGTAGCGAAACCCCATCCCCGTCGAATAGCTCAGAGCCCTGTTGCAGTATGGGGCATTCGCTGCCGCATTTACCGGAGACGAGAGCCGCACCCGAGCGGATTGATGATGGGTGACTGGAGGGAGGGTGCGAAGGGGGAGCCGCGAGCCCAGCCTCGCTGGAAAACTGGCAATACCTACCGAGTACTACTGGGAAGAAGGGTGGTGGTCATCTCTCTGCAGAGGGTCGGCCCAAGACGGGTCATCTTTCAGAAGGACTCAGACTCAGACTGACTCTTACTACAGTATTCAGCCCCTTTGTCGAGGCAAGCAATACCAGAAGTGACACTAGTGGTGATAATAGGAATAGGCATAAGTCTTAGTAGAATGCTTCAGCCAGCCAGTCGTATCCTGACATATTTCTGATGTAATACCAGAAATTCAAATGGGGGGGAAAAAAAAACCGGCGGACTTTCTTCGTCCTCCTACTCCTCAAGAGGCGGGACCATGCGAGTTAACCTTGTGAAGTCGGACCTGCACGGGCACTCAAAAATATCCTCGCCGAAAAGAAAATGCGGAGAGAGCGGATGCGGTCGCCACAACACAGAGCAACTTGAACCTGTTTGTATGTGTGTACGGTAGGGTTATGGCAGGGCACATTCGGCACTGGCAGGAACGGACGGATCGAGTGGGTACGGCAGCAAGCATCAGCATCATACTCTACATATGGACCGACCTCTACCTACCTCGCTACGATCGTACGAGTAAGTTATGTACACACACGGAATGGCACCGTGCTACTCGAAGCAGTTAGTTACCCACATAATACAAACTGTACCTCCGCTTCTAGGTGGATACGACAGGGTCAGCTCCCCTGCAAGTTCCCCTCCCCTCCGCCCTGCACCCAACAATCACAGCCACCAAAACCTTCGCGGTACATCTGACCTCACGTGGATATGGCGGATCGTGCGCTGCATCGAGCGGAGAAGACAGTGAGAGAGAAGATGGAGCTGAAATGTTGGGACCGCCATGCTCGAGTTGGGTTAATCGATCGATCTCCTGCCCCTGGTACTGAATGAGGTACCTCTTGAATGAGGTTGACTCCGTGCCTGGTCCGTGCAAAGAAAGTAAAGGATCACGATGAGTTTGGCCGCGGACCCGTCCGTCACCTGTTTGGACGTTCTTTTGTTTGTCAGATTCTCGGTGGAGGGAAATTACATCAGACAAGACCACGTGGAACCCAACAGTGCGTGAATGAAATCCTTAAATATTGGGGGGACTGAATCAAGACAATGGTAGCCTCTGGTGGTATTGTTCGCGCCTGACGCCGCTGCAGGACATCAATTGCGAAAACACAACATATATATGTATAAGTATTGGCCACTATGAATTAATACCGTGTGTGTGAGAATGGAAAGTGAGCCTGTCGTCTGCCGTGAGCTCCAAAAGGCTGTGCGCGATTGCCAGGCCCGAGTGCGTATGGCCCCCATATTATATTCCTTCCCATTTTGTGTTTTGTTCGGCCTTTCCCTGAGTCCCCCCTCCTTCGCCGTTGCTGTGAGTTTGGTTTTCTGTGACAGATGTCATGTCGTCGTGGTTGATCGTTGATCATTGATCAGTTTTACTGTAAGAAAAGTCATAAACATAACCCATATTCATCATCCCGATTTGCACAATTGCCTCCACCACGTTCACTCCATTACATATATCCCCACTTCAAGCCCTCCCCGCTCCTCTCAACTCAAGGAGCTTCGGCCGAGGGTTAGAAATCACTTGCTGGTCCAGTCACCCCAGGTCTGGGTGCAAGGAGCAGTGACGGTCTCGGTAATATAGATGGATTCCGGCACCGGAGTGTAAGTGACTGTCGCGGTCTCGGTCTCGGTCTGGACCTCTGTCTTGTAGATGGTGCTGTAGGCCGTTACCGTGGTGGGGACTAGAGATCGAGAGTTAGCTGAGGTTCGAGCTGTAGGTGACTTCTGAAATATGAACTCACCAGTGATGGTGCTGTAGACGGGCTTGGTCTCAGTCACGGTAGCAGTAGAGTAGACGGTGCTGTAGGCGGTGACGGTGGTTGGCTGTTTCCACCAAGTCAGCATTCCAATTCCTCCAAAAAGGTTCTCCGTCATGGGCAATGTCTCACTTTGTAGATCGTGGAGTACGCAGTCGAGTAAGCAGTCGAGTAGACGGTGGAATAGGCAGTGGAATAAACGGTCGAGTAGGCGGTGGACCAGGCGGTGGAATATTCAGTTGTCGTGGCGTACTCAGTGGTGGTCACGTATTCAGTGGTGGGATAGCAGGTGCTGGACCATTCGTTCCAGGTACCATCTCGCCTCTGGACGGCAGCGGCACTGGCACCGGCAACGAGGAGGGCAGCAGCAGTGAAGAACTTCATGGTGATTGGGAGAGGGTGGTTCGTTCTGGTTGGTTAAACGAGGGAGACCTGAACTGATGTTTGGAAACGAAAGGCTGTGAGGGAAAGCGAAGGAAGATCTTGGGTAGTTGTATTGGCTGGATTGTACTTTGGGCTGATGATGGAGGAGAGAACAGAGTTGATTGAACGACCTACCGTGATGTCTTTATATTCGTGACTGGAGGGACTCGAGGCCACGGGAAGCATGGCTGGGCAGCATGCAATGATGCTGGGGGTTGTATTTCCTTGCTTTCCGTTGTCTCTCAGCTGACGATGGACTGAAAGAGGAAATAGGGATGAGCGGGGACCGTGCTGGGCGGGCGGAGCGAGACACTGGCAATTCAGAGGAGGCGAGGCGAGAGGGCCAAGCTAGAGAGAGGTGGACCTTTGGACGGCCCTGGGCCTATGCATGTCGCAAACGCTGGAGCGAATCCGCATCGGCAGCGTATGTAGGGCCTGAGGGTCTGCCATTTCAAGCAATCCATGACAAAAACCGTGGTGTCGACAAAAATGGGCCAGAGCAAGGCGGAAGCCGTGCTGTGCAAAGTTTTCTGGCAGTTGAAGTCAAACTTCGGTTTCTTGGAAATGGCGAAAATAGCTGGCGCTTTGCCGAACCGGGCGTCGTCTTAGGCTGCGCTTTAGCGTCGTCTTAGAGCGTTCTTGGCCCGGTGCTTAGCCTCACTCTAGCCTTTCCCCGCAGTGTACCGAGCCAATGAGAGCCACGGCTAGTGACCAGCCCCCCGGCCTGTCCTTTGTTTTTCCCGTGTTGGCTGCGCACAATTCCATTCGCCATGTTTCGCCTGACCTGACGGCGCTAGTCCTCTTTTGGCCCTATACCGTATTCAAGCGGCAAGGTGCTCAAGTCCAGCCTCCCCGTGGCCCAAGTGCCCAAGGGCTGTCGTTCATGCCGTGCCACAGGTTCGTTCCGTATTGGTGGGCTGGTTCTGCGTGCTGTTCTATTGTGCACGGAATATCGTGTTCCAGCAACAACTCCAGCTGCTGCAGGACATACCTAACAAGTAATACTCGTATGATGTGTACTCCACTGGTTTTGATTACCGCTATGCCTCGTTTGGATGACGGACCGCCGATATTTACGTCAGGCTCATCATCAGCATCCCATCATCCCATCGTCTTCGCATCGTCGGGCGGTCGAACAGCAACGCTTTCGGAAGGGACGCGCTTTCTACAGATAATACGGTAGCATTCCACGGCGTACCGGACTACTAGCTGTATAGCACACTTTGAGTCAATCCTGCGGATTCAAAAGACAATCTTGCTTTGAAGCGAGGTGTACCGAGTAGGCCCATGCCAAAATCCATGTCGACGTCAGGTACCGAGTCCCTAACACCCAATTCCGCATGGTGCAATACATACAAAGGTCCTTTGTCAGACGCCCTAAAGCCTTGAAGCAATCTCCCGCTGTGTTGCCCCGGTCCCCCAAGCGAACTGCCTACATAAGTATCTCATTATTGTGCGGAGTCTTTCGTCCTTTCGGTAAGAAATATAATGGTCCCTCCTCCCTTTCTCAGCAGGACTCAGTCTTACCAGCACTGAGTTGGCAACCGTTCATAAGCCAAATAATATGGCATTACCCTTGGTGCGGAGCAACATCAAGCTCAAGTCATTTGAACCTTGCGTTGCGAAGAGCATACCCGCCCTCGCCGCCTGCCTATGGAGTTTCCTGGCGCCTTTCGGACGGGCTGTCTGGTGGAGAGCATACTCTGGCCAGGTCTGAGAGTCTGAGTTGTTGTAGCATCACTAAGACATGTGGGCACCAGGCATCGAGTGAGGATTATGTCTGACTCGTGGATTGGGCCGCACGCATGGCGAATCGGATGGGCCTGCCGGCCTGGACAGGGTAGGGCAGAGCAGGTCTTCGATGATGAGCAGTGTCATTTCCAAAGCGGGAATTGTTCAGGAACCTGACCCTTTGACCGGAATCCTCCACATCCTTCTGTCATTAGCCTGTGTTCTTGTCCATGGCAGGCTGGCTGGCTGGCCGGCTGACTGAGCCAAGTAGCCCGGCCAATTTGCTGTCAACCAAAACCTGCCACGCCTGGTGCACGGGCTTCTCAGCTGCCGTACTTCTTGCATCGTGTACTCGGTACCAGTATGTACACTGTGCGGAGCACTCGGCCCAGCAGTATCCGCATCCTGAATACTACGGAGTACTCCGTGCGCAGGCATTCCCATGCCCTGTGCCTGTCCTGTGCCTATGCCTGTACCTGTGCCTGTGCCTGTGCCTGTGCCTGTGCCGTGCCTGTGCCGTGCCTGTGCCTTGCCTGTGCCGGTGCCGGTGCCTTGTGGCGCCCCAACTCTAGTTCCATCACATAAGGCTGCGGCACCGTCACCATTTCGCCGTCGAGTCTCACACGGTCTGCCAGCCATCTGAGAAGACTCGATCAATCACAACATACCCAAGCCAAAGCGGTGTCGGCCGGCGAGAAAATCGAAAGGGCTGGACGAACAGAAAACACAACTTTTTTCCACTCATACCTTTCCACTGGGTTGAGAAGGATCGCCACCTCCAGCCGTGCTCTTTTTGTTACGTATGGAAGCATTTGCACATCCAAGTGGTCCTGGTGGTCCGAGTCATCCCAAACCTAAGCAGGGGCCGGAGCTGTTTTGTTTTCCTGCATCTCCGGGCTGCGAGGTTCTTCCACGGGCTTGCTTGCTCGGGATGAAGTCTTTTAAGCAGGGAAGAAAGAAACACCCCTTTTCAAGATTCGGTCCGTTAAAACCCGCCAACATACTGGGCATTCATTCGCTCCCCCCACCCCCAAAAGAACCTGTCCTGCATCGCCAGCAAGCTGGCTCCCAATCTATCTCAGGTTACCCCCTCGTCCCTCACCTCGATCTACCCAACAAATGACCATGTCCTCCCTAATCCACCTCGAGATCCCCGATCCGCCATACACCACCCCAACAACAGCTTCTGCTCCAGCTCCATACCTTTTATTACTGCTCACTTGCCAGCTCAAAAAGCGCAACCGTCTCACAGAAATTCGCCTTGTTCACACTATATGGCACCACGTCCGTCCCCTCATAGCTAATCATGAACTGTGATCCTTTGGTGCTCAGCGCCCAGAGGTAGATATCGGTCGAATTCCGAAAGTCCACCATCCTCTCCTGACAGCTCTCCGTGCCCAAGCACGCCTGCGTGTTCCAATTCTCGAAGAAATTGTACAGCCCGCCGCCGTACATGAAGATCTGGCTCGAGTTGACGAACCGGAGGCCCCACGTTCGTGCGCAGTTTGTTTGCACACAGTCAGAGTAGTCTGGGTCGTGCCATGAGGCTTGCGGAGTGAACGGGACAAGTGCGTTGGGATTGCCCTGGAAATACGCCGTCTCGTGTTGGATGTGGCCCATGAAGACGTTCTTCGCATTGACAAACTGGTAGTCATACATGACCGAGTGTTCGGCGGCGGTGCCATAGAGCCACACCGGGCCTTGTGATTCGATGAGAAAACCACTGCAAAACAGCCAGGTCAGTAAATTTCTTTCCTCCAAGCCCTCCCCCTCTAGAAGAGAGCTAGGGGGGAAGTCCTGCTCACCCTTTATTGAAAATGTAAATTTGCTGCCGATCTGCCAAGTCTAACTCGTGGTCTGCGACCCATCCCCAAATATTTTCAAAGTAGCCATCGGCCTGGCTCGTGACATGCAACAGCAGAAACGCGCCGATGCAGTCCGTCAAGACCGAATTCGATCCCGCAATCGGCGTTGCGGGTGTCTTTATACACCTGTCCTGTTGCAAATTCGTGCCTGCTGAGCCCCCTATACGCCAATGGGCATCCCAGATGCCGGCTAACGCGGGCCCAGCGCCTTTGATGTTCCACTCAATAAGAATGGCTCCTGGACAAGGTCCCTTGACCTCGAACACGAGGTCGGAGATTTCGACCGTGCCAACCTCGCCAGGATTACCTATCTTCCACATTGGTTGCGGGTTGAATTGGTCCCCGAAGAAGGGGCCCGTAGCCATGATGATGCTAAGGAGTTCGCCGGTGATCTTGACGTCTGTGGGAACATTGATGGTGGACGTAACGATGTAAGCCCCCCTGTCAAAGTAGGCAACTCTCCCTGTGGTATAGGCAAGGTTGAAGAGTGCTTGCATCGCAGCAGTGTCATCTCGAAAGAAGGTCTTGTTAGCCAGAGACTGAGTCGCATGTCTGAGCACAGGTGGACGACATACCTGTAGACCCATCACCCACGAGCCCATTTGCTTTTGCGCTGAGGAATCCTGTAGACCATTGAAGGTTCTCATATTGTGGTTTGACGCGGTAGACGTATTGCCCGTTACTATCGACCAGCGACGAAGGTCGAGGAATCGGCGCAAGGGCTCGTTGGACCGTCGTCTCTTGCGCGGTGTACGCGGTCTGGCTTGCGTTCTGATAGACACAAGCTGTGCCGTTGAAAAACTGCCCGTTGAGAGCTTGGCCTGCTGTCGTCCAGGCATTCCCTTGAGCCCAGAGATCGACAAACTGTTGGCCAGCGAGAATCGTTCTTGCTTGAGTGCCACCAGCGGCAGAGATGGCGACGTCACTCCCTGTGAAGTCGACTTTCTCGAGGACTAGAGTCCCGGCGGCTTGGGGAGAGCTGAAGCCAGGGGCATAGGGTGTGAGTATCCCTTGAGTCGCGGATATCACGCTGTCGATCAGGAGAAGAGACCCGACAGCAAGGTTGGAGAAACCACCACTGGTCATGTCAATCCCGACATCGGAATTGGTAATGGTAATCTGAGAGAACAGCCACACCCAGTCGAAGTTCATTTTGATCGCCGTCGAACAGCCATCGAACTGTATCTTCCGCGTCGTAAATTGCTGATTTCCAAGGTATGCTCCAATAGAGCCGCCGGTGATGACCATGTCGGAGAAGAAGCCTCCCGATCCGTTCTCCATGTAGATCCCTTGTTGCTGGTTGTTCACCACGTCCTTAGACACCATGTTGATGGCAATGTTCTGCAGACTGGTGGCTTGGGCAAC